TCAAGGGAAGGGAGTTCTAAGGCCGTGACATTATGCTCTACTTTGATCACTTTCAAAAATTCTTTTCAGAAATTACTGATAAAAAATTGGATCCCTATCACTGATGATCTCACCAGGAGTCCCATGTAGCTTGTAAATATGATCCATAAAATGTTGACTCGAGGTAGCTGCTGAAAAGGGATGAAAAAGGGCCAAAAAGTGAGCATATTTGCTCATTCTATCCACAATAACCCATATTACCTCTTTACCCTGGATTTAGGCAGCCTTTCAATAAAATCCATTGCTATGTTCTCCCAAACTCTTTCAGGAATGGGTAATGGTTGCAATAAACCAGGGGTAGCTGCTGTCTCATACTTGCAACGAGCACATGTATCACATCCTCTTACAAAATCTTGAATATCCTTAATGCATTCCCTTCCACCAAAACAACCCTTGAACCCTTTGATAGGTAGCATGCACCCTGGAGTGGCCTCCTTGTGGACTAGAATGCAATCACTCAAGGATTTATTGCTTAACAGCTGTAACATCACTGACTACTAACTTCCCTTTTCATCTTAACAATTGTCCATCCCGCACATACTTGCCAATAGCACCTCCCTTTTGCTGCAACTCAGAAATTACAGCCTTCAAATCAGCATCAGCATCTCAACTCTGCTTAATTTTCTGAAGCAATTCAGGAGAAGTGGTATCAAGTGCCATTTGTAACAACTGAGGCCCATGCAACCTTGATATGGCATTTGCGACAGCATTTTCCTTTCCCTTTTTGTAGCAAATTTCATACTTATAACCCATCAATCTAGCTATTCAATACATTTGAAAAGGAGTTTTTAATTTTTGTCCCAATGAGTACTTCAAGCTTTGTTGATCGGTTTCAATAACAAACTTCTTTCTCTCCAAATATTGGTGCCAATATTCCTCTACTTGAACCACTGCCATCAATTCTTTTTCATAGACAGACAACTTCAAGTGTTGAGGAGCCAAAGGTTTGCTGTAGAAAGCAATAGGTCTGCCTTCTTGCATCAATATAGCACCAATCCCAAAACCGCATGCATCTGTTTCAACAACAAAAACTTTATTAAAGTCTGCTAAAGCAAGTACAGGAGCTGAAACCAATACTTCCTTCAATTTTGTGAAAGCTTTTGCTGCTGTATCAGACCAAAGAAATCCTTGTTTCTTTAATAAATTGGTGAGAGGCCTTGTAATCTCCCCATAGTGCTGAATAAAACGTCTATAATATCCTGTCAAGCCAAGAAAAGCTCTTAATTGTTTGATATTGGCTGGTTCTGGCCATTCCAGTATTGCTGTCACCTTCTTAGGGTCAGTAAAAACAGTCCCACTCCCTAAAATACGATCCAAATACTCAATCGTAGTTGCTGCAAATGTACACCCCCCCATTTTGACATAATATTGATATTTTCTTAGGATTTCCAGCACCTTTGCTAAATGCTCCATATGATCTGTAAGAGAAGAAGAGTATATTAGGATATCATCAAAGAAAACAAGAACAAACTTTCTTAAAACGGGTCTAAAGATAGAATTTATTGCTCCCTGAAATGTGGCTGGTGTAGTGGTCAAGCCAAAAGGCATGACCAATCATTCATAGTGCTCGGAATGTGTCTTAAATGCTGTTTTGTAAGCATCTCCAGGTAGCATGCGAATTGGATGATATCCAGCTCTTATATCTAACTTGGCAAACCATCGTGTAGCACTTAATTCATCAAATAAGTCCTCCACAAGAGGGATAGGGTACTGATTTTTGATAGTCCTTTTGTTTAGCTCCCTATAATTTATATGCATGTGCCACGGACCATCTTTCTTCTTAACTAACACTATTGGAGCTGAAAAAGGAGAAGAACTTTCTTGAATAATCCTAGGTTGCAGAAGTTCTCCTACTAGCTTCTCAATTAGTTCCTTTTGACTTGAAGGATATCGATATGGCTTTAAATTAATAGGATCAGTCTCTTGTTGAAGAACTATAGGGTGATTGTGACCTCTCATGGGTGGCAGCCCCTTAGGTTCATTAAAAACATCAACAAATTCTATCAAAACTTGCTGGATCCCTGGACGTGGACCTTCCTATCCCCCTGTTATAGCAAAACATTGCATTTCTTTAGTTGTTGATTTAATAAGCTGTAGTAGAAACTTCTGTTCATCTTTGCCCCCCCTTGGTTTCTACTTTTTTTGGTTGCACCATCCTCCACAAGTTAGGCAAATTAGCTTGTAATTTGCATAGTTGATCTCCATGCCAAAAATACAAGGTGAGTGTCTCATAATTCTAAAAAACATTCTTGATACTCTTTAGCCAATTTAACCCCAACATTATGTCACAAGTCTTAAGGTCAAGGATTTTGAAATCAAAGACATACTTATCCCTGCATTTTCCATTTTAAACCCTTCTATAAGCCATGTATCTTGAGTTTTTCTCCTCCAGCCACTTCTACCCATGATTTTGGTGTACAAACAGGTTGCCAACCTAGCTTCCTTGCTGTTTCCAGATCTAGGAAATCATGGGTACTCCCGTTATCTATCAGAATCTGTATTTGCTTCTTGCCACAATGTCCTACCACTCTTATTGAAGATGCACCCTCCACACCTTCTATTGCATGCAAAGAAATGAGTGGAGTTTCATCTTCCTTGCGTGCTGCTGCTTTTGACACCTCATTTGGCAATTCTTCTTCTGGGTCCTCTTGTATTGCAATAAAATGCAATTGCATCTTCTGTCTTTGAAAATTTTTGTGACAATAGAAACGAAGATTTTTGCTCCTATGTTCTGCTTGTGCAGAAAGAATTTTAAGGGCATTAATACTATTTTTAGAAGAAGTGAAAGTTTTGAATGCACGGATGTTGACTTCCCTTTTTGTGGGGTCCCACCACCAAGCAAAGCTTGTTTATAAGAGGCCTAATTATTCTAAGACCCTTGTGATGATGCAAAAGGAGGTGCAGCCACGTGTGCGACATTCTTTACACTTGTTCGCTTGTTTGCTTGTCTTTGCAAGGTGATCTCTTGCATGTGCGCCAAAGAGTGGACTTCTTGGAGGGTTTTGGGTTTAAAGAGTCTAATTGGACTTGTGTAATTCTCCATCGGACCTTTCATGTAAGCTTCAACCAAGTATTCTTGTGAAAGATCCAGTTTGCAAGCAATAGTGTCAAAGGCGTCATTGTACTCGGCCAAGGATCTTTTTATCCATAGACGCATCAAGTCGCTCATAGGTGTCTCATGAGTGGGTTTGGATTGCTGCTTCAAGGCTTCAACATACTCCACCCAGGTCGGAGTGAAACCAAACCAATTCTTCTCCATAGCCGTGTGCCATGACCCAACTGTTTTGTCCAAACAAACAGATGCCATCTTGACTTTCTCGTTTTCAGGCTTGTTGTCAAGGTCGAAGTATCTCTCACATCTCATGATCCAACCCAACACGTCGAGCTGAGAAAATATGGGAAAGTCCATTTTTGTGAACTGGGTAGGTTGTTAGTAATCTTCTTTATGCCTCGGATCTTCTTTACGAAAACATTGATGCCCATTTTGGTCTTCTCTGTTTTGACGACCATGGGTAGTAGACTCGTCATCCCTTTCACGCATCAAAGGCTGAATATTTTGTGAGATACTAGTGACTTGGTTACTAAGCGTGTCAACAAAGTCAAGTTTGGTGAGTCTTTGTTCTATTTTGTACAGTCTTTCTTCCATCTTTTGTTGGGTTTGGTTACGGGTCTTCACCATATGCCATCAGATGATAGAAAAAAAGAAAGGAAAAGTGGCTAGGGAACGAGTGCTCTGGTACTGATAGGAAAAAGGTTGAAGAAGTAGGATAGAAGAGAGATATAAGATAGAGTTTGAAAAGAAGAGGAAGAGAATTCAGAAAAGAATGAAGGAACAGAGAAAATTGAGAGAGAGAATCAGGTTTCTGAATGATACGTTTTATTATGATATCACTCTAATTACAATTAAGAGAAACCTAGTATTTATAGACTTTGGGTGTAGAAAAGTCAAACAAAACAACAAATGACCTAACTTCTCTTTAATAACTACCACTACCTAAATAACACATGGTTTTTATTATTTGACATATCAATCACTCTTCGAGCTTTAGTTGAAATTGCTAGAGGTCCGCTAAAGAGTTAGCGCTGATGTGTTCACCCAAAAAAAAAAGAAATCATTTAAATTTCATTTGCATATTTCTTATTCTTCTTAGTTATTTTGCAACTCCACTTAAGCCTTCCAGCTTGTTATCCCAACCTGCAAAAAATTAAACATGATTTGCAAAGAATTGATAAAAGAAAATAGAAGAAATAAATTTATCAAAATGATATGGAACAAAAATCTCGTTTTATATTTTTCTCGATAGCCATGCATAGGAGAGTCTCCTAAGGGCCAAAAGTTTTAAAGTCTGTTTTATTCAGGATATGTCTACTTCTGAGTTGCTAAGCATATTTATAATGCTAAATACAATTTAAAAAATGAATAAAATCTAAATAACTAGATAATTAAATAAAAACTGAGTAAAATCTCCTAAAATCTATATTTGGATAAAATAGTGAATAAAATCTAAAGAAATAAATATCTAAATAAAGTCTAAATAACTATATATCTGGATAAATATCTAAATAAAATCTACATAACTAAATATCTAAATGTAATCTACATAATATTATTAAATGGAAAATATCTAAAATAAATTAAAAATAATATTTATTTTTAATGTCTTTAACTTCTCAAATTATTCATTCTCTCTCCATAATTGGTACTCTATCAAGGTACAAGTATCATTTTTAATCCATCAAATCAAATTTTCCTTTCCATTCCAATTTATTCTGTGCTCCAAATGAGATATTTTTTTATGGGCCTTTGTGGCACTATCGATGAGTAACATTTTCCAAGAAGAGGGTGGACCTGTCTTGCTTGCACCCTTTTTTTTAGAAAAACATCCTTGTGTGTGTTTGAACGTCTAGGTTTAATGTCTGCCAAAAATTTGATCATAGTATTCTCTTGGATGACTTTGTAGGTTGCAGAAAGTACTACCTTTGTTGAAGATATTGCAGCCAAAGATAGTTCTGGTGATTTTATACAACTTGCGTGTATGCATTTCATATTGACCTTACTTTCTTTTGACTCCTTATTTTTTATGTAGTTTCCTGAGGATTTAGGGTCACAGATCAGTTTTTCAAGTGCAAGCTCATTCACAGTTTCTCATTACACTGAAGGCAAAACTCTGAGAGTACCATGCCAAAAAGACAAGAGAGAGTTAAAAATTGCAAGAGACTTGGCTTCTCAGTTCCAATGGAAGAAGTTGAAGAAAGAAGACATCAATATCTCGAGATTAAAGGGGGAGTTATTCCTGGAAAATGCTAAGCATCACTTGTTTTTGCAAAACCAACAAGAAAATTCGTCAAAAAGTAGGCCTCTGCTTCATTGGGGTTCACCTGATATGGGAAGGCTTTTGACAGCATTATCAAAGTTGGGCATTAATGCAACTCTGGAACATGTTACAAGTAATACAGAACCACATAGTACCTGTGTTCTTCATGTGCAGGAACCTCACAGAGCTTCAATAGAGGTTGGAGCAACCCGTACTGTTATTACTGCTGCAAATGAGGATGTGGCCTCCCTAATTTTTGAAGCTATAGATGGCATTATGGATGGGGTTTGAATTAGTGACCTTTATTTCTTTGATGTTTTCACAGAATTTTTTTTTTCATGGTGACTAAAGTCAATCATGGTTTTGTGATTTGCTCTTTGATTAACATTGGGATTATCATCTAATTGAAACAAAAGGTTTGTTATGGAATATATATGGTAGTTCATAATGGTGCATTGTCACTAGGAGTGAAAATAGGATAGGTTAGATTAGGCTTTGATCAAATAGATATGAGATCGTGAGTGCAAATTTGCCATAAATTATTTGCTGCTATTCCAATGAAAACCAAAGGCTTTCTTTTCGGTGATGGCGAAGAACTTAGTGGAAAAATGCTGACTTCTTAGAAGGAAAGAGTAGAATATAAAATATACGGTAAATATTTTTAAAATAAACGAATAATTTAATCTTTAAACGGTCACTCTTGATTTATCAAAGACAAATTTTTTTGCTTGCCTAGTACTTTCTTTTTTAATCAAAATAGAACTTCCATGAGGATGGGGTTGGATTCCATTCGTGTTGTATGAGGTTTTATCTTTTGTCTTTTGGCCAACACATCCGAGATTAATTTTGGCTACTTCTTCCCGTGTATTTTCCTATACTAGACTTTAACGATTTTTCCCTTCAATTTCTCTAATGCATTTTTTCAATGGAAGATTAATTACGATATAAAAAAAGTAAAATAATTCTATATCTTTCTCCATGGGTTTCATGTTATGGTAGTTGATTATATCTACTTATTTAAGTGGATTGACCTCCTCAAATGACTTTATTTTAAATTACGGATAAATTTTAATACATCAAAGAGTTACAATTACCTTTATGAAGGACTTATTTGATTGAAAAATAATTTAGATTTAAATTGAAAAAATTATCTTTATTACATTAGGAGTGATTTTTCATGTGTTAAACCATCAATTATATAAGATGAGGGAGCATTTGGATTAATAGATTTAGATTTGAATTTCATATTTGACACCTTGTATTTGAAATTTATATATTTAAAATTCTTTGTTTAGGTATTTTAAAAAAAATTAAATAAAGAAGACATATGAACTGAGATTCAAAGCAAAAATTAAAAATTAAAAATAACAAATTTATTTTTATTTTTTAATTGATAAGAAATGAGGAAATATATGAAAGTTGTAGAAGTATCAATAGTGAAAATGCAAAAAGAACAATAGGCTTGAAGTAATTAAAATTATGGAAGGAATTTGAAATTGCAAAAAATTTATAATTTGAAAAGCAAATTCAAATTCATAAATTTTTGTATTTTAAAATGAGAGACTTAATTCAAATTTAAATCCAAATCCTCATAAATCCAAACACACCATAATATAGTTTCGGAGATTGAATCTAATTTAAAATTTTAAAATACAGACCAATTCAAAAAACCAAACATTATATTCACAGTAATGGTTTAATTGTCAAGTTGGCAACATTTTTCACCATACCACCTTGATATTCATATACCATGTCCTCTAACTTCTCACATAAAGATCATGCCACTAAATATTTACAAACAGTTAACAATTCAGAATCACAAACCATTGGTTCTAGTCCCAGTCTTTACTTGTGCAACATATATTTTAATTAAAGTCTTAACGACTATCAAGCGGTCTCAAATAAATCACAAATAAAATACAACCATAGACAAGTTTTAATAAGGCCATGAAGCATCAGATCATTTCCCAAGCAAAGTCATCAAGAACCTTCTGTAGTCTCCTGAGGTATCTCCTGAGGTATCATCTTCAAGACTGGATTTGTACATGGCGGCATACTCCACTTCAACTTTCGAAAGGTCGATTTCAGCTCGAGTTACAAAAGCTCTAGTAAGAGAATCTTCATCAGTTCCCAGCCCCCATATTGAGTCTTTTACAACCTGTTGATAATTAAAGTCAAGGAAATCGAATTAGAGATTTGGGATCCTTGCTCTAGTCAGAAATAATCTTTCAATATGTGCACATATGTTCTTCCTTGATCTGTTTTCCCTCCTTTCTATTTTGGAGTTTCTGCAAAAAGGATTTCTTTATTGATGAAATGAAATGTCTTCAGCTCTATAGACTTTGATAAGTTATTTTAAATTTAACTGTTAAGTACTTCCTCTTAACCACAACACAAGGCATTGGCAACTACTCCACAATTCTAAAAAAAAGTTTGGTGAAACCTTAATTTTTTTTTTAAAAATTATATATCTTTTTAATTGTAACCTCATTAAATAACCTATATAAGTGTTATAATGATGATTCCAATGCATATTTTTTTTTAAAAGAAGTATTAAATGAAATAACGTACGGTTAGAAAAACAATTATAAAAACTACTCAATGCTCTATATTTTTGGACTAAGCAAAACTTCTAGAAGATTTCCTATATTGTAGTTTGAATGGAGTACATAACATATCATCAAGTCATTGGGAAGAAGAAAATTACCTTAGCAAAATGTTTCTCGGGGCAATCTATGCAACACACTATCACATTTAAAAGAGACTTGAAATCTCCTTTTCCACAGTTTTTGATATCCTATCAATGAAATCATCATCCAAATTAAGTTCCACTAAAGTAAAAGGTAAAATTTATCAGAAATAAAGCGTTCTTCCAAAACCTGTTCCAATGTATTCCCATATAGTTGCTTGTAGTATGCAAAAGTCGCCCTGAGCTGGAAAACATTTCTGGTGCTAAGTATCCAAACAATGTCATCGTGGTCTAATTGCTTCTTGTTGATGGCTTCATTAAGTCTTGCTGCCTCCAACATCGCAGCCTCGGGATCCACAACTTCTTTATCATACCTGTAGGAGCTCACTAGGCCCACCAAAAGCTACACAAATGACCATATTATGATCCCATGAAAAATCATGGAATTGGTTAAATATAAAATGAGAGTGAAACATGAATGCAGCAAAAGATTCTGCTATTAAAACTTGGCTTAAATAAGTCCTTGTATCCTATTTTACCAAGGAGTTCATTAGAACAACTTAAGTCTTATAAAAGCAACATCTATTCAGGATTATCCAAAAGTTCCCTCAAGATTTATTCTTCATCATGGTCATCAATCATCATCATTTCATTTCATCAGACACATTTGAGGATTAAAGAAATATTTTGAAGCCCACTTTTAGTCTAAAACAGTCTGAAACTTTTAGACCAAACTTCAGAGAATTGAATTATGTGAACACCCATCAACAATAATGTTCTGTGATACGCTTTTGTTTCAGTGGATATAGTTTGCTCATGAACAGCCAATTTAGTATCAAGTCACTCAATTTACTATCCAACATTTTCACTCTTTTCAGAATCAACTGCTCATATGAGGGTGGGGGGAACTAGAAAACTTAAGCTTTAAACCTTAGAACTGAGGGTTTTGGTGTGTGCAAGGATCCTTGAAAATTACTGATTGTAAAAATTCTGTGATGCTTGAAAAAAGAGAAACACAAAAGGTGAATGCTCGGATGAAGCTCATTTCTTATTCTTTAGCTTCTTCCAACTCAATCTTTTTCTCCTTTTTTCTTCAAACTCTGCAAGAATTTCACAATTAAGAAATGCAAACCTTTGAAGCTTTTCGGGTGAATTCACAAATCGAACACTACTTTTGGCCAATTAACAGTAAACAGAAACTAGGTCCCAATTCTTAACCCAACACATTTTCCAAATGTTGTTATGTTTCTAACAAACTACATGTTTTATATTTTACCTTACTGAGGGGCTTGTGAACATTGGATACAATATACTCTTCCAGCGAGCAATCAAAGAGAGAACAGTAAGCCTGCCTCACAGCCATAAGATGGTTAGGAGATGATGCGCATGCTATTTCAACCAGAACTTGTAGTTCTTTAATCCCTATTCTCCAACCCTTCAATGCAGCATTTGCCAATTTTGCGTCCCTTTCTGGAGGATCAGTAGTCCAAAGAATCACTGCATTCTGTTACAGATCACAAGCCTTAAGTCGATGAGTGCAATAAGACATCACATGTTTACTTAAGAAAAAAAGTCTGGTTTGGTAATAATATAGGATATCTTCATTTTATAGAACTTCTTCCAATACAAAAGGAACTATTCCGCCAAAATGCTATACAGTACACAAATGTTAGGACTTGGGACAAATAGCTAACACACCATAAAATGACAAATCACAAGTATTAAACAAAAGTGAAACTCATAGAGTAGTATAAAAATTATAGCAAGGTTTGGATTTTCTGACACAACCATGAAGCCTAGTCTGATAAACAGAACAAAGTATTGTTCGAAGCAGACAACCAAGGAAATAATATACGATACTGAAACAACGTTTCATGAATTGTATAAAATAGATACAAAAGTCAAGGGAAGGGAAGAAAGAACAACATACTCTAAAGTCTCCGGATAGTTCAGAATGTAGACGATCAATGAGGGATTCATTGTAAAGCTGCTGATAGGTTTCTCTAATTTTCTTCCTTTGGTTTGCATTTCTGTGTCCCAGTACAGATATCACTGCCTCCTCATCCGTTCCAAATCCTACGTACATTTTCCCAGAAGCATCATCATCGACTATGATATATTTGAAACCAGAACTAATCCACATAGGATCATTTTTAAGTGTATATTATTACATCCAATTAGTACAACTCAGCACCACAAAATTGAGTGTTAATAGAGATTGAAACCAAACAGAAAATACCAAAGAAACTTCAGACATAAGATGTCCCAAGAACAAAATTGGACCATTTATTCAGCTCTCGCATTCCATTTGAAAGAATGAACTTTTATACAAAAGAATCTTAGCGAAATACATGCATTCAAATCACAAAATGCTATTTGATGAGGTCTCACTAACAGAGCTTATATATCCTGTGGATTGAGAAAAATTCCATCATTAACACGAACCAAGGCGCATAAATTCAGAGATAGCTTAAGTCATCAGAAAAACGAAAATAAATGAACGAACTAAATCCCAGATATAATATTGTGTTTAAGTTAATCATTCTTTAGTGGTAACAGTACGTAAGAAATAGACCTTCAAAGGCCTTTCTGAGTCGCTCGCTGTCCTGGATTGGAGCAGTAACCTCAGGCACTCTCAGAGAAGCCATTTTGCTTCTCAGACCGACGTTGGCTACTTTCTCCCCAGAAATCTTTCTTCTTTCATGCAAGCAATCGCATTTTTTTCTGGACCTTTTTGCCCATGACTTAAATAAAGAGCTTTTCTTGAGAAAAAATTGCAATCATATACCCAAAGTCGACATAAATTACGTTGGAAGTTTTTAAAGGCAATAATAATTTTTTAGGGATCCTTTAGTTTCTAGTCCCTCAAATTTAAGAGAGTTATCAGTTTAATCCCTGAAATTTTTTTGGGCTCAAATTTAATTTTTATCGTTTTAGTCTTTAGTGTTTGTTTTAGTCATTAAGTTAGTTTTTTGAGGACTACATAGATAACTTCACAAAATATTGAGAATTAAAATGATATAAATTAAATTTAAAAGATCATATTACTTCAAACACAAGGGGCTGAAAGTTACATAATCCATTAATTTTACTACAAAATGTTGTTATTAAATTTTATTGATTCATTGTATCGTTTATCAAATAGAATTTCCCTAAAATCCTTTTGCAAGTTTTTGGAAGTTAATTGCAATTTTTTGACACTGATAATTACAATTTATCAGTTCTTTCAACACAACTAAATGCAATGCTATCCATAGTTTGTAAAATTATGTTTTACTATATATTAGATATTGATATTCATGATTTTCAATATACAGATTAATTTGTTCGATCTAATTGCTTTCATCTTTAATTAATAAAACAATTTGTTGTATTCGTGAAATTTATTTTTATATAATTTAAAACTTATAAAAAGTGATGTTATTTTTAAGCCTTAAATGGTATGAATAGTTTAAAACATAGGGCTATAATCCAATTTAATTTGGAATTAGAATTGGCACCATATTTTAAGCGTATTTGTGTTTACACCCAAGGATTATAATTATTATTATTTTCTTGTTTTGGGAGTTAAAAACTAACAAACATTTATTTGAACTATGAACACAATGATTGGGCATGAAATTAATTCCTACATGACGCACATGGGAAGCAAGGTATTATTATTTATTATTATATTATATATGCAAGTAACACATGGGATTATTATATTGTTATATGATATACATTGTTGGTAAGAAAATATATATATATATATATATATAAAATATTATATGCATTAAAGTAAATGATTTTCTTACGTGAAAAGTAAAGTATTATTATGTCATTGTCATATCCATTCAGAGCAATGATTTATTAATGTACAATCTGCATGCAAGGCAACACATGGATTATTATATTATTATAAGCAATGGATTATATATTCATGATTTAATTCTAACCAATTATTTATTAATTTGTTATATGAGTGTTCAAAGTCTAACAAAACAAACCACATCGAACCCAACTAAATAAACCAATTGAGGAAAATGGGTCAAAATTTATTATTAGAAGAGTTTGAATATTCACTTTGCATATGTAAGTTATATTGTGACTTTTGTTTTCTTTACAATCATTATTTTAGATCATATTTCAACATATTTTCTTCTCTTTCAGATTCTAAACTTAACCAAGACATTATATTAGTGTTACTTCAAGAATGATCTTCTCTTTTGTATGATTCAAAATATAAGAATTTTCACTATTTGATTAAGAAAGAGTTAAATTTCATTATAGTCATCAACACAATTTGTAATGAAATCTAACTAATGCAACTTACATATGCATATATTTTGGTGTTTATTAATGATAAAATTTGATATTTTTATTTTATATATAAGAATGTTCATTATCATTCATGAATGATAATGAACATTCTTATAAATGATAATGAACATTCTTATATATAAAATAAAAATATCAAATTCATGAATGATAATATTGTAGATGTGAATTGAAGTTGGAATAGAAAGAAAAAAACAGACAAAATATGCTTAATCATAATAGATAATTTTATATATTTTAAAAAATTATTAAAACTTGATCCACAAATGAATCAAACCTTTTAAAAACTAAACCAAACAATCTTAATAAAAAATGATCAAATATTATTTTATACAAATTGATAGGTTTAGTTTAGTTTAGGGAAGAATTATGTTGAAGTCTCAAAAAAGAAAATCAATTACTATAAAGTTCATTAATAACTGAATTAAAGCCATTGTAAAAAATCTAAACTAAGAGATAATAACTTTAATTCAGTTGTTAATGAACTTTATAATAATTGATTCTCTTCTGTGGGACATAGACGTAATTGTTCCTTAGCTTAGATTTTGGCTAAAAACGAATCAAACTTTTTAAACAATATTAATATATCATATGAAAAAAGGGCATTACTATATGCTATACAATATTTTTTGGGCCGCCAAAATATTATATTCATTCAAAGCAAAGGATTATTATAATAAGAGATTATCATCATATCGTATGGATACAAATTTTTTATATATAGAGTACGGACACAAATTAAAGCAAAGAATATTATCATACCTTACGCGTGCATGGCAAGGAAAGGTGCCTTTATACTGAGGGGCATTAGTTATGAAAGTTTTTGACTGTTGATTAACTATATTTGATATTTTCTTATTGCAATAATTGATGTGTCATGTATTAAAAATGCATAAGAAAATAAAATATAACATGATTTTCACGTGATTATATTTTTATTTATTCAAAGTAATAGATTTTTTCTTTCCTCTTCATTATCTATAAACTCTTATATGAGTTAGTGTTTCGCATTGTTCATTTAGCAAGGATCTCGTGTTCATGTTTTTTAAAGATAGTTCACATTTGATTTCAACAACTCAAATCTTATTTTTGTTTTATTAAAATCATGATTATATTTTTTAAGATCTTGTGTTTATTTTTTTTAAAGATAGTTCACATTTGATTTCAACAACTCAGATCTTATTTTTATTTTATTAAAATCATGATTATTTTTTAAGTTATTAGTTTGTATAATTTTCATTTTATTTCCTGAAAATTAAATATATCTAAATTTTTAATGAATAAAAATATATAATGAATAAAAAATATTTTGAATTATTTAAAATTTTTTATTTTATTTCAAAATTATTTCAAATAAAAAATAAAAAATTTTAAGTAAAACAAAAAAATATACCAATGGTTAAAATATGAAAAGGATTTATGTCAGAGATTAGCAAGATATTCATATATGAGAAAATGGAAATGATAAATATTGTTCATGACACATAAATAATGTGACTAAAATCTTTATATATGAAGCCAAAATTACAAATAAATAATGCAGCCCTCTCTATAAATTTACACACACATATATTTATATATTTATTGATTTTATATATGTTTAATAATTTTTTAATGATAAATTAATGAAATAACATACAGATAGTTTTCACAACACATGTAATACAATTTTACCTAAGTGTGATCAGTGTTTTAATTACTCTCCAAAATGCATATAACTTGTTAATCCAAATCAGTTCTGAGGTGTGGGAGGGGCATATAAGTAATTTTTTGACCCTTATTCCGTTTCAATTTAATTATAAAAAATAATTTTTTTAAACGAAAATTATTGAACATGAGTTTGAATTGAATCGTATTAGGCTCATGATATCTCTGTTACAAAGAATGAAGATAAACAGGATACAATTAGAACGCTTCGATATGATTTTGAATAAATAAATTCTAAATTCTCTTGTAACAATTTTTCTTATTTTATGTGAATGTCTAAAACATCTTATAAAGAGTACTAGGCCGATTAAAAGTATTAAAAATCAAATTAGTTATTGAATTAATTAAGATATTTGTTTAAGAGTTGATGATCAGAATCGTAATCAAACCATGATTAAATTTGTCATAAACAAACACTTTATTAGTTCAATCGGGGGTGGGTTGACTTCGATTATTATGCTATGCAAAGTATTTGTTAAGGTCTATAATTACTAGAGAAAAGCATAACTACTGGTCCTTCTAGTTTCATTGTGTTTTGTTATTGCTTTATGTATTTTTTTTTTTAATATTCTATGTCCTTATGGTTTTTTCTATCAACAACGTTAATCCTTATATTTTTTAATACTTAGAAGAATAATGATGTGACACTAAAAATATTAAAATTAGGGCATTTGATGCACAAGATAAAAATGCTTAACTCACAATGACTGGAAATTAAATCACTTTCCGACATTTACAAATTCTGTCACCAAAATAGTTTTCATCTGAAAAGCAATTGTCCCTCTTTTATTTTATGCTAATTCAAATTGTCAACTCATTGTATTTTAAACATGTTAGCATCTTCATTAATATTTCTAGTTACACATAAGATAATTTAACAAGGTTCTTAATTAATACTACATCATCATCCTTGTGTACATATTTAAAAGTAGAAAGACTAACATTATAAACAGTAACATCTAGATGTATCAGGAACATTGGGGGAAAAAAATGCAAAGATCAATAATAAAACTTAATAAAATTATAAATGTTTTCCCTAATTTCTAAGTGGATGACACAAGTTAGGTGCATGGCAAAAGTGAAATGACAAAAATGGGCTCCAGATATTCTATAAATAGAAGAGATCCATGGTTTTGTCATTTGAGAGGGAACTGGGAAGTCAATCAGGAGCATCAATGGCACGCATCAACCATGAAGTCGAAGCACTTTCAAGTGCTCTCTCAGGTTCCTCCCTTTCATTCTTTTTTTGTTTTTTTCCTTTTGAAAAATTATATTTCTGCTTTTTTTTCCTTATTCTTAAAAAATTATATTCTTTTTGGAAAATTCGTTCATTTTTGAAAATAAAAATTTTCACTAATTCTATTCTTTCGGCTGGGTGTTCCCTCGTTTGTGGGAAAGGAATAAACATGGAGCAGCTCAAATATTTTTTTTTTGTTTTTTAGGTTTTCATTTTTTTTTTCTGTTTGAGAAAAATTGTATTTATCGCCTTCAAAATCCTCAGGTTCTCATTTTGATCCACCGCAGCTTTAATTTCTCTTAATTTCTTCCCTCAGCTTTTACAGTCCCACTTAAAAGTTAATGCCAATTAGGTGATTTATTCAGGTGATTAAGTAATATAATTGCATGGAACCTTTTCAATTAGCGTGATGAGATCCAAAAAAAAAAAAATAGTAGAAGGGAAATGATAATATTTATTTAGTAATATGGAGGGCTAAGTTG